ATTAGAATATAAAATAATGGTTTCTATTTTAATATCCTTTAAAATATAATGTATTTCTGTGATGCAGCGCTGAATTTCCATCATCATTACTCCAGAATAAAGCGTCACATGATCTTCAGAAATCATTCTAATATGCTGATTTATTATCAGAGTTATCAATGTTGCTACAGTTGTGTTTTTTGGAAACTGATACTTTTTTCAGGATTCTTTGATGAATAAAAAGTTAAAAGAACAGCATTTATTCAAAATATAAATCTTTTCTAACAATATAAATCTTTGCTATCACTTCTTATCAATTTAACACGTCCTCGCTGAATAAAAGTTTTAATTTCTTTCAACAAAAAAAAAGAAAGAATAAAAATGTACCGACCCCAAACGTTTAAACTGCAGCGTGTATTGTTAGAAAAGATTTCTATTTTATATAAACGCTCTTCTTTTGAACTTTTTATTCATCAAAGAATCCTGAAAAAAGTATCACAGCTTCCAAACAAATATGAAGCAGCAACAGTTTCCAGCTCTGATAATAAATCAGCATATTAATGATTTCTGAAGATCATGAGACACTGAAGACTGCAGTTATGATGCTGCGCATCACAGAAATAACTTAGATTTTAATGTATATTAAAATACATCATAATAATATTTCACAATATTAAATTTTTTCCTGTATTTCTGATCAAATAAATGCAGCCTTGAGCAGAAGACACTCCTGTAAAAACATTACAAACTTTCTGATCCCAAACTTTTGACCGCTAGTGTATACATATGAAAAAGCATAGCAATTTTTTGGGTACAGTCAATAAATCAGCCAAGAAAAAACACACCCAGCAGTGAAGGGGTTAAACTCTAAAACACCAAGAGTGAAAAACAGACACACACTCATACTCTCACACGTATTAGCTGGTGCAACTAACACAGAAGAAAGTTTGTGCATTTGTGAAATAAAATCAATCATTCAGCCACAATGCAGAAAAAAAGCACAGTAATGAAGGAGTTAAACTGCAAAGCATAAAGATGTAAAACACACACACAAACACGCACACACACTCACACACTCTCTCTCTATCTCACACACACACACACCACACACACTCACACACACAGTCACACTCACACACACACACTCTCTCTCACACACACACACACACACTCTCTCTCTCTCTCACACACACACACACACTCTCTCTCTCTCTCACACACACACACACACTCTCTCTCTCTCTCACACACACACACACACTCTCTCTCTCTCTCACACACACACACACACTCTCTCTCTCTCTCACACACACACACACACTCTCTCTCTCTCTCACACACACACACACACTCTCTCTCTCTCTCACACACACACACACACTCTCTCTCTCTCTCACACACACACACACACTCTCTCTCTCTCTCACACACACACACACACTCTCTCTCTCTCTCACACACACACACACACTCTCTCTCTCTCTCACACACACACACACACTCTCTCTCTCTCTCACACACACACACACACTCTCTCTCTCTCTCACACACACACACACACTCTCTCTCTCTCTCACACACACACACACACTCTCTCTCTCTCTCACACACACACACACACTCTCTCTCTCTCTCACACACACACACACACTCTCTCTCTCTCTCACACACACACACACACTCTCTCTCTCTCTCACACACACACACACACTCTCTCTCTCTCTCACACACACACACACACTCTCTCTCTCTCTCACACACACACACACACTCTCTCTCTCTCTCACACACTCACACACACTCTCTCTCTCTCTCTCTATCTCACACACACACTCACACACACACTCTCTCTCTATCTCACACACACACTCACACACACACACTCTCTCTCTCTCTCTCTCTCTATCTCACACACACACACTCTCTCTCGCGCACACACACACATACACTCTCTCTCTCTCTCTCACACACACACACACACACACTCTCT